TCAACTATCACCCAAATAGAATCCTTCTTATTTAATGTCAATGGTAGTCCTATAACAAAATCCATAGTAACTCTCTCCCACTTCCATTCTGGAATAGAAATTGGTTGTAACAATCCCGAAGGCACCTGATATTTAGTTTTCACTTGTTGACACGTTAGACATATAGCAACAAACTCAGAACTGGCTCTTTTCATACCTGGCCACCAAAATCAACTCTTTACATCATGATACATCTTGCTTCCACCTGGATGCATAGTCAGTGGACTATAATGTGCCTCAGAAAGAATATCTTTCTTCAACTCATCATCATGTGGAATACAGTTTTTTCCTCGGTAATACTGACGTCCATCTAACTTGACTTCAAAGTCTTTAGTCTCACATTTTTCCACTAGTGAAATCTTTTCCAAGCATCTTCCATCTTTCCTTTGTAGCTCTATTATTCTATCTAAAAGCATCGGCTTTATTTTTAATTCAGCCAACAGTGCGCCATTTTCTTTCAACAATAGTCGCACATCCATAGCTCGTAAAGCTGCAAAAGTTTTCCGACTAAGTGCATATGCTACAACATTTGGTTTACCTGGATGATAATCAATGATCAAATCATAATCCTTTAAAAGTTTTATCCATCTTCTCTGTCTCAAATTGAGCTCTTTCTGAGTCAACAGGTATTTCAAACTCTTATGATCCGTGTAGATGTGGCATCTCTCACCATACAAATAATGACGCCAAATCTTTAAAGAAAAAACTACCGCTGCTAACTCAAGATCATGAGTAGGATAATTCCTCTCGTGCATCTTTAATTTTCAAGAAGCATAGGCTACCACCTTACCTTCTTGCATAAGTATACAACCCAAACTATTATGAGATGCATCACTATACACCACATACTCTTTGCCCGATTCTGGTTGTACCAATACTGGTGTTTCCGTTAAAATCTTCTTTAGAGCTTCAAAACTCTCTTGACATTTCTCAGTCCAAGTAAATGAAACATCCTTTCGCAAAAACTTGGTCAAAGGAGAAACAATTATCGAAAAGTTTTTCACAAACCTTCGATAATAACCAGCAAGTCCCAAAAAACTTCGGACCATTGTAACATTCTTTGGAGGTTTCCACTCCAATATTGCTTGAACTTTATTTGGATCAACTCTTATGCCTTCTACCGAGACAACATGACCAAGAAAAGTAACTTCTGATAGCCAAAACTCACACTTTGACAGTTAGGCATATAACTTTTTATCCTTAAGTATTTTGAGCACAGTACGAATATGAACATCATGTTCTATCTTTGTCTTCTAGTATACCAGAATATCATCAATAAAGACCACCACAAATTGATCTAAATAAGGTTGAAATACTCGATTCATCAAATCCATGAATGCTGCTGGAGCATTTGTCAACCCAAACGGCATTACTACGAACTCGTAGTGTCCATACCGTGTTCTGAAAGCTGTTTTTGGAACATCTTTCTCTTTAATCTTTAACTGGTGATATCCCGATCTAAGATCAATCTTAGAGAAAACAACTGCTCCCTTAAGTTGATCAAAAAAGTCATCAATCCTCGGAAGAGGATACTTGTTCTTAATAGTCACCTTGTTCAAATGTCGATAATCTATAAACAAACGCAATGATCCATCTTTCTTTTTCACGAACAAAACCGGTGCACCCCAAGGTGAAATACTTGGTCTTATAAATCCTCGATCTAGCAACTCTTGCAATTGGGCCTTTGATTCCCTTAACTCTGTCGGGGCCATTCGATAAGGAGCCAACGAAATAGGTGTTGTACCTGGGAATACGTCAATCCAAAAATCCACCTCTTTATTTGGAGGTGATACATGTAGCTCATTCAGAAACACCTCTGGATACTCTCGTACAGTTCGAATCCTTCCAACTTAACTTCAGCAGTTCTCATATCCAACACATTTGCTAAAATTGCTTGACATCCCCGTGAAAATAATTTCTTAGCAGTAAAGGCTGAAATCACATTGGATAAGGGATTTACCCTTTCTCCAATAAATATTATCTCTGAACCTGTTGTATCTTTTAAAAACAATCTCTTCAAACGATAATCTACCCAACCATAGTAGGAAGATAGCCAATCCATGCCTAAGATTTTCCCGAATTCCTCAAAAGGCAATTCTAATAGATTTGCAGGAAATTCTACTCTCTGTATCTTTATCGGACATTTATTACAAATCCGACTAATTTTTGCACTATGGCCCAATGGATTGATTGCCGCTAAACCTCAACACCTATTGCGGCATTTTTAGGACAAACGCCGCTAAATATCAAATCCTATTGCGGCATTTGTTGTAAAAATACCGCTATATATCGTTATATATATTGCGCCATTTTTTGACCCCAAATGTCGCGAACTTTAGCGGCACTTTTTGCGACGTTTGTAATATCGTCGCAGGTGTTTTTAGCGGTGCTAAAAAAACGCCACTATAGGTTACAAAAACGCTTCAAAAAACCATTTTTTCTGTAGTGTGATCGGCGGTTTACCTCGGGGTATTGCATCTATTTTGGAGGTAATCTCATTTCCTGGAGTTCTTAAAAGAAACAAGTTGTTGCACGTTTCACTACCGAGGCTGAGTATCAGAGTATTGCCTCATTTGCTGCTGATCTGGTGTGGGTCAAGTCTTTGCTCAAGGAGTTCCATGTGGTTTCACATGGTCGGACAACTTTGTGGTGTGACAACTCCAGCGTAGTGGCTGTTTGTGCTAATTCAGTTCTCCATTTCAAGTTCAAGCATGTTAAGCTTGACTTATTTTTTTGTTCGAGAGATGGTTGCAGCCGGTAAGTTACAGGTGCATGAAGTTCTAGCGTATGAACAGGTGGATGATGTTTTAACCAAGCCTCTCTCATCTCCTCTATTTTTGAAGCATCGTCAAAAACTGCTGGTTGCTCAACTTCCAGCTTTGAGCTCATGATGAAGATTAGAAGGTTGGTAAAGAATGGGGAATGTTGAGGTTCAGCATTACGTGTAGAAGTTTGGTGAGTATAATTGTTATAGCCTGCTGTGAGGCTTCTGTTGTGCATGCAGTTATAAGTTTGTTAATGTTCTGTTATGCATGAATTTACACGTCAGTCCTTTTCAGCTATTATAAATAACTACACTTGTAAAGGTTTTGGTACAGCTTTTAATAAAAAGGTTTAGAGAGCCTTTTATCTCTCGTTTCTTTATCTTTCTTATTTAGATAGCTTCACTGCTATCTTATCAGGGAGTAGCATTTTAGATTTGGTTCTCTAAATATTTGATCATGATTTTCATCCTAATTGATATTATAATATTTGAAAGAAAATTTGAACATGTTTATACTTATATTATTGTTCCATCCATAGGTGAAGATAAATCTAAATAATATATATATATATAGGATTCTTAACAAAAGACAAAGAAAAAGAAAGTAGTAGTAACAAAGTCGGTCTCCAAACTCCAATGTCATCTAATATAACTGTTTCTTAGAAGAAACATTTCGTTTTCGGATCTATCGATTTGACAACATTTAAAGATGTATTTTCTTAGGGAAAATGAATATAAATACCAACACAACAATCAATTACGATTCGTCAGTCTCTAAATTTCATGAGTCAGATCAAAACAAGATTGCCGTATAAGATACAAAAACTAATATATAATGATGTATTAGCAAAGATATTGAATTAAAGCTGGAAGCTTAATCAGAGACAGCAATGCATAGTGGCTAGGAGGCTTTCATCGTCATTTTGGCCGATGCTCGGCATTTCAAGCTAGCTTGGAATGATGGTTTCCAAGATATTGAAGTGGAGCTTGATAACCAGGAGGTCGTGGATACGCTCAACGCCAATCCACACATACACGAGACTTCACTCATCCGAAGGATTCGAAAGCTACTTCAAAACCGATGGAAGGTAAAACTTTCCTATGTGCGACAAGAAGGAAATGCTGCGGCCAAGGCTATAGCTCACCTTGAAGGGAATGCTGGACTGGGGTTCACGACGCTGCATGAATGCCTATTGCAGTGCGGCATATTCTTAATATGGACAAAGCAGGCTGAGTAGAATTGTCCCTACATTGATTTGACAGTGTTTTATTGTTAAAAAAACAAAAGATATTGAATAATCTTTTTGAGTGTGCCCTAATATAACTTCTGTAAATTCAATTTATTTTCTTATTAAACTTTAAAAAAAAACCAAGAATAAAAGGAATTTCTTGGGCCACATCCACTAAAGAACTCGATTTGAAAAATCTTCTACCTATGTTGTATATGTATCCACTTTTAAAACTGGTAAGATTCTTAGTTTTATTGTGAATATAATAAATAATAATCTTTATATATATATATATATATTATATTAATATTTGAAAATAAGATATTATTAAAATTTATTATAAAAAACTCTCTTAATCTAATTTATTTTATTATTAAAAATTACATAATAACTTAATTATTATTTTTTGACCCAAAAGTGTTTTCTTTTCCTCGTATTGTGTTAGCCCAAGGAATAAGCAGAAGCCAAAGCCTATGATAGGTCATTTTGGCAGCCCAATCACAGTTTCAGCCGACAATTGTTTACTGTTGAGATCGAATACTTGGTTTAGTAGTATGTAAGTTTAAATCTTGATAATTATTTTAAAAATATAATAATTTTCTACTTAATTAAAATAATTGTTTGGTATCGAATATGATCACTAAGATAAATGATATTAGTAATAGTTTTGAAGATTGTTACGAATGTTTTAGTGGAAATTGGAACAAATTAAAGTTTAAGCATCCATCAACATACTGTATACTATAATATAAAAAGGGTGGAAAGTATTGTGATAATTGGGCATAAGAAAATAAGAAATAAAAGAAACCCCCCACTACTTGCATGATTGAATTCCCATCCAATCCACACGTCTCCTATTCAATGCCTATTTTCTTTTTTTCTAACTAAATAATGTCCAATATACGGAATCCTGCACCGTCTTTTGTTTAAGAGCAACTACCCAATCTCCTTGTTTCGAGACTATTTTCGATTATATTTTCCATGGCCGGTTGCATGAGTGGTGGGGACCTAAGATGATTCGAGGATCAAGGCTGGTGACACATCGTTGATGTTGTGGCTATGATTGTGATCTGCTTCATATGTTACAATCAGCATCGTTGGATCATCTAGAGCTCTCTCTACATGTTTCCTTGCAGGACAACCTCTGACGCTGCTGCACTTGTAATAGTCCCTGTAAATTGTCCAAAAAACGAGTTAGGCCGGCTCGCACAGCCTTTACAAGTGAATTCACTCCGTAGGCATAAAAGTCAATGGCACTTGCGGTTGATAACAAAAGGATGTTAAATGCAGATTTGAATTTGTTGTGTTTTTGGGGCATTTGGTCAAACAGGTAACGGGTGAAATAACTATTAAAAGAACCCCACAAGAAAACATAAATGGTAAGAAGTTTTGATCGGTTGATTGAAGACGGCAGGAGCAAAGTACTAATCTTTACGAACCTTGGATGAGGGGAACCCTTGACAGGTATATCGGCTATCTTGTTGCTAATCGCAGCAACTCTGATGACCTTCTTCACTCCTGATTTCCTAATGAAAATTGAATCATAAGGTTCAGACTTGGGAATCAAATCAATTAAACGATTCAAATTGTAGCTATGACCCAGAAAAAAGAATCTGAGAAAACCAACATTTTCTTGGAGCAATGGCAACGGCCAGAGGATGAACCACAGTTAAGAGCAGCAGCATCCAATGAATTACCCTTCCTTTTCAAACAGCAGGGGCTCAAATGAGCACCAGTCTTTGCTCTCAAATGAGCACTGCTTTTGTGATGGGGGCGATTTGGAGGCAAAGGAGGCAAACTACAGCTTGGGGTCGAACAAAAAGGCTTGAAAGCCGACTCTTGATATTTGGTTACTTGAAAATGAGACCCAGACTCTTGAATCTTGTATACAGCTTGTTGTGAATCTTGTTTTTGGTGAGCAACAGGGGCTCGTCTAAATCGAGCATGGCCGATTCTCGGTCGACCCAGTAATGAAATAACCTCTCTGAAAGAGTTAACAGTCTTATCTGTAACAGCTTGGATATCCATGGCCGACTCTGAAGGAGAAAAGGTTTTCAAAGGAACATCTTGATCGAAAAGCTGCTGACTTTTAGACATCATATTTATCAATTCTTCAACACCTTGAATCCCAGAATTTGTAGCTTCTTTCAAGGCAGTTTCCACCATTTTCCCGGCAGAGTCACCATCGCCAGCACCACCGTATACCATCATCAATTCAACAGTCATCTCTGTTTAACAAACAAAAAGCCCCAAACCCCAACAAATTTGATAACTCGAAGAAGAACCTGAAGCAGTTTTCTAGATTTATAGAGAAACAAAAACCTGATATCAAATAAGTGGGGAAATTAATTGAAATAATGTCAAAAGGATGAAATAGATAAAAGAAAGAAAGAAAAACTCAAAGGAGCAGAGGGTCAAACTAAACGCTTTATGTAGTTCTGTTACATATATACCCAATCAGCGCATCCCACGTATTGAATAAATTGTCAGCGCATTGAACCAGTCTCTTTTAAAGGGATATTTCTGCCCTCGGCCTAATTTAGGCTAAAAAAACACAACCGAAAATATTAAATTTATTGAGTGTAATATAAAATATTAGTTTTTTAATATTTGTATAATTTAAAATGTTAATTTTTTAATATTTTTAATTAAAATTAAAAATATTACGACATTTTAGTTACTAATTAAAAATATTAATAGAAAACATTTTAACTTGTGCAAATATTAAAAAACTAACATTTTAAATTTCACCCAATCAAAAATATTAAAATCCTTTTAGAATTTTCAATTGTAAATTTACTTAACCTTAATTACACTATCGTTCTTTAAAAGGGATAAACAACCGTTGGATGGGATGCGTAACCGGATAATAAGGGGAATTTCAATTTGGTTGGAGACAGTGAAGCAGCAGAGTTGACTTTAAAACCTTTAAATGACAAAACAAAGTCAATGGTGGGACCCGCTTTTATCTGAAACAAGAAAATAGTCGTATGGGATTCTTAGGGGGGCCCAACACTGCCGTTTAATTTAAGATTAAATGAATATTTATAAGATTTGTTATGATTGGTCTCTCTTCTACTCATCATCATTTCTTACCTGATATGACTTGCAGCTGGGCTTTCAAAAATAAAATATGTCAAGTTTTAGAATTAAACTCAAGTTAACGTTGACTTACACATGGATTAGAAAATGATTTAAATTAAAAAATAAATATTAATCTCTTTTATTATTAAAGAATATAATAATAATAATAATAATTTAATTTTAATTCAATCAATATAATTATTATTACAACACTTATAAGGATATAGATTCAAAATCTTTAATTCGAATTAGTATAATTCAAAATCTCTGTGCATCATTCTCTTCATGTTCCCTTTTTTAAATTTAGATGAGACTTACGTTTCTGTCTATATACAGAGATTTTTACGCAGAGATTTATTTGTAGGGATTACTTCTCATTGCAGACGCGCATATTAAGACTGCATATGAATACTGTCCAACTATGTATTTATTTATTTATTTATTTATTTATACATGCATTGTATTTTATCTTTATTTTAATTTTCTGACTGCCGGAGGTCTTCCACGGAAGCTGCTCTCTACCTCGCATTGGGGGCAGCCTACTACCCTACCTCTCCCTTACTCCATTGCATATGGAAATAGGGTTTTGTTGTTTTTGTTGTTATTTTAACACTATAAGAGTATAGATTCAAGATTTTATGAGATTAAAATTTGGGATGATGTCAGGAATTTGCACCCTAAGAGCCTCAAATTGGCTTATTTATAGTGGGCCGGGAACAAAGTCTATTGGGCTCAAATAAATCTTTTTTTATTAATGTTAGGGTTTTAAACATGACATATAAGCCTAAAGTAGAGATGGCCTAGGGCCTTGACCCCAAGATTCAGGGTGAGCATACAGTCGAGTCAAGTCGAATTAAGTCAAAAAAATTTAAGTTATTCGAGTTGACGAATCACATTTTATAATTCAAATCTAACTTGAAATATTTTCAAGTCGAGTCGAGTTATTTGAGTTTCTATACAAATTTTATTATAATTATTTTTAGTATTATGGTAAGGAATAATTCTAATTTGAATTAATATTCATATTCTTTATTCGAGTCGAGTTTCTATAATTACCATTTGAACCAACATTGGTTGGTATATATATATATATATTCATATTCTTTAATAAAACATAATATTATTTTATTCTCTAGTAGGGATGGCAAACATGTATAATTTTGTGGATTCTGCACTGTACCAACTCTAATTGGGGCGGGGATGGGTATAACTTTAGTGGGTAATGGGTGGATGTGGATTTAGAAAGTGGTACCCATCGCAGATAGTGGGCGGGTGATGAGTTTGAGACCTTACCCGCCCCGCATCCGCCCGCCCACTAAATACCTATTAAATTTTGGACCATTGTGAATTTAGGTATAATTTTAGGGTTTGTCATTTATGTGTGCCAAAGAACAAAAATATTATGTGTTTGTCATTTATGTTTCTAGTCGTGAAGGCAGAACTACTGTAAGAGTTTATCACATCAAGACTGATGATGACAGAGATGCTCCTGATATTATAGCAGGTACCTTTTATCTCTTTGATGAACCAGTTTTTGTATTGATTGATCCTGGATCTAAATATTCGTATATAAGTACAAAACTGGTAAGAGATAGGGGAATCATTTTAGAACCTATTTCTAGTGATATTGTGGCAATCAATCCATTGGGCCATAGTGTGAAAATTAGTCGAATTCGTAATGAATGTCCGATAAAGATACAGGGAGTAGAATTTCCTACAAATCTATTAGAATTGCCTTTTGAGGAATTCGGGATAATATTTGGCATGGATTGGCTATCTTCCTACTATGGTTGGGTAGATTGTTGTTTGAAGAGATTGTTTTTAAAAGATACAACGAGTTCATAGATAATATTTGTTGGAGAAAGGGTAAATCCCTTATCCAATGTGATTTCAGCCTTTACTGCTAAAAATTGTTGTCACAGGGATGTCAAGCAATTTTAGCAAATGTGTAGGATACGAGAACTGCTGAAGTTGTACGAGAGTATCCAGAGGTGTTTCTGAATGAGCTACCTGGATTACCTCCAAATAGAGAGGTGGAGTTTGGGATTGACGTATTCCCAGGTACAACGCCTATTTCGATGGCTCCTTATCGAATGGCCCCGACAAAGTTAAGGGAATTAAAGGCCCAATTGGAAGAGCTGCTAGATCGAGGATTTATAAGACCGAGTATTTCACCTTGGGGTGCACCGATTTTGTTCGTGAAAAAGAAAGATGGATCAATGCGTTTGTGTATAGATTATCGATAGTTGAACAATGTGACTATTAAGAACAAGTATCCTCTTTCGAGGATTGATGACTTGTTTGATCAACTTAAGGGATCAACTGTTTTCTCTAAGATTGATCTTAGATCGGGATATCACCAGTTAAAGATTAAAGAGGAAGATGTTCCAAAAATAACTTTTAGAACACGGTATGGACACTATGAGTTCGTAGTAATGTCATTTGGTTGACAAATGCTCCAACATCATTCATGGATTTGATTAATCGAGTATTTCAACCTTATTTAGATCAATTTGTGGAGGTCTTTATTGATGATATTCTGGTATACTCGAAGACAAAGATAGAACATGATGTTCATCTTCGTACTATGCTTGAAATACTTAAGGATAAAAAGTTATATGCCAAACTGTCAAAGTGTGAGTTTTGGCTATCAGAAGTTGTTTTTCTTGGTCATGTTGTCTCCGCAGAAGGCATAAGAGTTGATCCAAATAAAGTTCAAGCAATATTGGAGTGGAAACCTCTAAAGAATGTTACAGAGGTCCGAAGTTATTTTGGGACTTGTTGGTTATTATCGAAGGTTTGTGAAAAACTTTTCGATAATTGCTTGTCCTTTGACCAAGCTTTTGCGAAAGGATGTTTTATTTGCTTGGACTGAGAAATGTCAAGAGAGTTTTGAAGCTCTAAAGAAGATTTTAACAGAAGCACCAGTATTGGCACAACAGAATCGGGCAAAGAGTATGTGGTGTATAGTGATGCATCTCATAATGGTTTGGGTTGTGTACTTATTCAAGAAGGTAAGGTGGTAGCCTATGATTCTCGACAATTAAAGATGCACGAGAGGAATTATCCTACTCGTGATCTTGAGTTAGCAGCGGTAGTTTTTTCTTTAAAGATTTGGCGTCATTATTTGTATGGTGAGAGATGCCACATCTACACGATCATAAGAGTTTGAAATATTTGTTGACTAAAAAAGAGCTCAATTTGAGACAGAGAAGATGGATATAAATTTTAAAGGATTATGATTTGATAATTAATTATCATCCAGGTAAAGCAAATGTTGTAGCAGATGCACTTAGTCGGAAAACTTTTGCAGCTTTACGAGCTATGGATGTGCAACTATTGTTGAAAGAAAATGGTGCACCGTTGGCTGAATTAAAAATAAAGCTGATGCTTTTAGATCGGATAATAGAGCTACAAAGGAAATATGGTAGATGCTTGGAAAAGATATCACTAGTGGAAAAAGGTGAGACTAAAGACTTTGAAGTCAAGTCAGATGGATGTCTGTATTACCGAGGAAGAATCTGTATTCAACATGATGATGAGTTGAAGAAATATATTCTTTCTGAGGCACATTATAGTCCACTGACTATGCATCCAGGTGGGAGCAAGATGTATTATGATGTAAAGAGTCGATTTTGGTGGCCAGGTATGAAAAGAGCCATTTTTAAGTTTGCTGCTACATGTCTGAATGTCAACGAGTGAAAACTGAATATCAGGCGCCTTCAGGATTGTTACAACCAATTTCTATTCCAGAATAGAAGTGAGAGAGAGTTATTATGGATTTTGTTATAGGGCTACCATTGACATCAAATAAGAAGGATTCTATTTGGGTGATAGTTGACCGGTTAACTAAATCGGCACATTTCATTCCGGTGTGAATGGACTATGACTTGGATAAATATGCAGAGTTGTATATCAAGGAGATAGTTTGGCTACATGGAGTTCCAGTATCAATCATATCTGACAGGGATCCAATGTTCACTTCAAGATTTTGGAATTCTTTGCATAAAGCATTGGGTACTCGATTGAATTTTAGTACGACATTTTATCCACAGACGGATGGTCAATCAGAGCGTACTATTCAGATATTGGAAGATATGCTAAGAGCATGTATAATTGAGTTCAAGGGATCATGGGAAAAATATTTGCCTTTAGCATAATTTGCCTACAACAACAACTATCAAACGAGCATCAAGATGGCTCCG